CCATATCTTGGGAACGCATGGACGGATTTGTCTAAATCTGAAATATGTTTCTCACATATATTTATACATGTTTAGCAAAGCCAAATAACCGCCGAAATCAGCCTTCTTCATGTCGACAATTTTGGGCCACATTTTACTCTTTTATCAGCTAATTCCATCAAAACAACACCAACCCTTGCAATTCATTCACTCTGAATTACAAAACTCACAAAGTTACCAAAACACCCCCAGATCACCCTATTTACCCTACCAATCCACCTCCACAGTACCCAGTATATCAATCCCAACATCCCTGCTATTATTTTCCCATTTTTCCGTATTTTTATCGTCCACCATTCTATCCCTATCCATCTATCTATCTACCCTAGCCCCAGAGCACATACCTAGCCCCATACATCCTCCCTAAACCCTGTATACATCTATCTTATCCCTGCTGCACAATTACCCCCATTTTCCTACCCTATTTTACCCCCTACCCCACCCCCTACCACCCCCTACCCATCCACCCATTTTTCCAGCCATTTTTCTGGCCATTTTTCCGGCCAGTTTCCCAGCCAGAATACCCACCAGCCCATGCTCTTTATAAAGAGCCTTTAATATTTTGGCAGTCCACTCTTTACAAAGAGTCAATAGCTTAGGACAAGGACTCCTTGTAAAGAGGCTACATCATCTGGTGCCGACGTCCAGCCCACCTCCCTAACCTTTTATCCTCCTCTCCCCCCAGGTATATGTGAAAAACCTAAGTCCAAAGTCTCTTGCGCATGGTGGGCCTTGAGATAGTCAAGATTCTACGTCTGGGCTGTTCTGGTTCACATGAGGAAAGGTGCTGAGTGGGGGATTTGTCATTGCAACGAGGGAGCTAGGCTATGTGATATAAAAGCAAAGGTTCATGTATGCGTTTAGTGTAGAAAGCGTAAGATAGAGTAATGATGTATGGATGAGGATGGAGAAAAGAGAGATGAAGCAGAGAAAGCAGATAAGCGTGAAATAGAGGGGTGATGTATGGTAGAGTCTAGAGAAAAGAGAGACGGAGAGAAGCAGAGGTGGCGTGAAAGAAGGAGAAAGTAAATAGTGTAGAAAGTGTAAAATAGAGGGTTGACGTATGGTAGAGTCTAGAGAAAAAGGACGACGTTAGAGACTCAAGCCTTCTTCCTGTTCTTCCTGGACTGGTCCTTGGCCTCTTCATCCTGGTCATAGGGCCTCTTATTGGTGCTGAGGTGAATGGTCCAACTGTTCTGGGTTTTCTGCCAGTGATGTGTGCAGTTGTCGAAGCTGAAGACGACGGAAATCCTGATGCCCTTGAAATGGAGGTTGAAATGTGTGAATTTTTGAGAGTGGAAGAACAAGCATTGGCCGGATTTGACCTGGAAGACAAGGCCAAGCTCATAGATGACGAGCTCTCATCCCCGAAGGGACCGTGAAAGGATATGCAACAAGGTCCCTTGTCACTGAGGTCAAGGTGTGGGAGCATCATGACACACAGGTTGATGAAGAAGCCGGTGAAAGGTCGAGCCGGCAAAGGTTCGCCATATGGGAGGTTGTAGATGCCCATTTTCTTGAGCTCATCGGGCCTGGTGTTGTCAAGCTAACGGAACTTCAGATTCAGAAGCCCGAGAGCAGGAAAGAAGGCGCAAAGGCTTACAATGTCGCTGATCTCATTACAGTGGGGAGAGATGATGTTGGCAATGATAGCATGTCCCCTGGGGTCCACCGTGATGTCCTTGACGGCGTAAGGCAAACATTGCAAGACTGTGTCATCCCTTGTGTTCTTCGTGCCTGCACGGATTTTGACAGAGTGAATGTTCACAGGTGCATCTGAACCCTGTCCGATAAGCCAGTGGGCTCAGCCAAAGTTCGAGAATGATAGAAGGAAAGGTAGGGAGGAGAAGACACTCACGTCTTTCCCATACTGATTGAGAACGTGGCTTTGTCAGCGACAAAGTATGGAAACACAGAGGATACGACGAAGAAAAGAAGAACGAGAAGGTCGCTCACTGGAGTTGGCCAGGCTCAACAGGCGTAGATGTAAGCCATTTATAAAGGTACCTGCTAGTAAGGATAGGATCCTTTACAAAGGTTCCTCTGGCCCAAGAATTATAAATGCCAGTACTGGGCTGGCTACTGGGGCGGCCGGGGGGTGATTCTGGGTGGCCGGGTGGCCCAGGGTGATGGGGTAGGGTGTACGGGGGTGGTCCTGGGGGTAGGGTAGGGGGTAGGGGATGGGGTAGGGGTGCTGGGGAATGGGTAGGGCGGGTAGGTAGGACATATATGGTGAAACGGGCTGGGTTATATATGGATAAAATGGGGAATATGGGCAGGGATGATTGTAGGGTGAATAGGGATAGAACGGTGGCCGATAAAAATACGGAAAAATGGTAGAATAATAGTAGGGATGCTAGGGTGGGGATACTGGATACCTGGGGGTAGATCAGTAGGGGAAACGGGGTGATCTGGGGGTATTTTGGTAACTTTGTGAGTTTTGTGAATTAGGACGAATGGATCGCATTGCCGGGT